GGGGGGGGGGGGGGTTGCTTTTTTTCCCCTTCTGCACTTAGTGAAAAGGCTTCTCTGTCTGATGTATAAGTTAACTATAGCTATCCATGGCTTACTATGTAAACATGATTGCAGCATAGTACTGAACATGAATCCATACCCGAACAATATTTGGAAGCTGGTTGGCACATAATAGTTCTTCTTTCAGGAAATACATTGCATTGATGTTTCGTGAGCTTGAAGGGGATTCAGCTTCTTTCAACATAATGGTTTCACATATGAACATCTAGATTAGTTCAAGTCTGGCCACATTACAATTAGAGGTGCACCGATACAATATGGACCGATGTATCGGCACCAATAAAAGGAAAATTGACATCATCAGTAATCTGCTTTTTTGGCTTATGTGGCCAATAAATGCTGTGTGCACGTGCACAGCCGGAGCACGCATGTGGCCAGCTGGAAGAGCAGCATCTGGCTGGTAAGTCTGTTGGGGGAAGGGGAGCAAAGGGGGGGGGAGAAGGGGCATGGCAGATCAAGGCCCCTGTGGTGGAGGGAGTGGGGCTGGGGAAGGGGCAGGCACTGCTCAGCCAGGGCGGGGTACAAGGCAGAGTAGCAAGAGACTCGTCTGGGGGGTAGGCGTGCTCCCCAGATCTGTGCACAGGGTGGAAGAGCCTGGAGCCTGTCCCCTGGTGCGGGGGTTGGGCCAGGGCTGCACTTTGGGCAGGCAGCAGCAGCACTAGGGGGTGGAAAAGAGGGAGCTACAGCAAGTTCTGGAGTGGCTGTAGCCCACCCTGTAGTCCCCCTCACCCCAGCACCACCACTACCCACCCCAAGCACAGCACAGCACAGCACAGCTCCCCCTCCCCCACAAGCCAGGAAGAGCCAGACACTGGCCCCCACCCTACCACGCAGTGGCAGCCCATCCTCATCCAACACAGAAGATCTGGGGGGACACATGTCCCTCATGGCTCCTCCAGGGGTGCATGTAATGGTGGGATCCACACCCCACCGGGTGAGCCACATGGCTCGATCCCTCACCCTGCCCTGCCCAGTCAGGGCAGCACCTGTCCCTGCTGTATCTCCTAAAAGCTCCACTGCCTCCTGCCCTGGCCCTAGCATAGCTGCTGGGAAGAGCCCAGTGCAGTACATGAGTGCACAGAGACAGCCCACCCCCTCTCCACACATTGATATATCTGGCATACACCACCCATGCTTCCTCCAGGAGCATTTGCAGCAGCAGGAGCTGCCCCCCACACCACTGCCTCCTGGACAAGCCACTGCCTTGGCTGGACAGTGCCTGGCCCTGCCCCAGCCCCACTCCATCCCTCACTGCAGGGGCCTCTATCTGCACCCCCCACACCCCTTCCCATGCCACAGACTTACCAACTGGACGCTGCTCTACAAGGTGCCAGGCTGCGTTCCTTGGCACATGCATGCTGCGGCTGCACGCATACACATGGCATTTATTGGCGACATCATCAGCCAAAAAAGCTGAGTGACAATAATGTCCTTTCATTGGTGCCGATACAATATGCACCTCTAGTTCCCAGGAAATCATCTTTCCTGCATGGAACTTAGTAAGTTTTACAACTCAAGCTTTCAAAATCTGTTCTGTTAAGCTGTTTGCTCTTGTCTGCTGATCCTCACTGAAGAGTCTAGCTCCAGTGCAGCCTAATCATGATGAAGGAGTAAAGGAATTAGCTAATTCTAGCCAGGAATTTTTTCTGAAGTGAAATTAAAAATGCAAGTACCATCATACTCTCTTTCACAATATGGCATGAATAGGCATTTACTGTCCCTCTTGTCCTTCCTTCCCTCATCACAGAAAAGAATATTTCTATCAATGTAATGACTTCTCTAGTAGCAGCAATATTACAAACAATCTCTGTAAAGCAGAGTTAAATATTAGGTTATAAGGAAAACTGTGACAGTTGCCTGTAAAAACTTATTTTTTATTATATTAAATTACACTTATTGAATAAAGAGTTAACAGACAACTATTGCGTACTGTATTATTTTAAGTCACGGGGATGTGTTTTGTTTTGCTTTTTTGTACTAGAATAGCAGACACTTTTCACCATACAAGGTAAGCTTAGTTAGCATGCCAATAGGTTAAAGTTCGTTTTTGCAATCCATCATTAAATAAGATAAGCTTGTATATTCAACAGCCCCAAGATCTTTGATTCAACCAAATAAAAAAAAACAAGGCCCTGAAAATGATTTGCTTTGGAAACTATGAATAATCAAAGCAGCATGAAACATCTCAGGGTCCTAGGAATATTGAAAGGCATCAATGTGCAAGCGGAGAGAATGCTATTCTCTTTTTAAAAATGTTTTGGGATCTGGGAATTTAAAGCATT